AAGCATGGTGGTTTCAGCGTGATGATTTGGAGAGCTGTTGGGTTGGTGGGAGATCGAGCTTAGTGGAGTGCGTTGGTAACATGAATTTTGTAAAATATGTCGAAATATTGGAGGAAGGACGCTTGCCACTTTATTCCTCGGGTTTCGTGGACAAGAACACAACGTTGTTCGAAGAAGATGGAGCACCGTGTCAGACTTCTAGAAACACCCAAAAGTGTCAGGAAGAAAATGGTATCCAGAAGTTGCCCTGGCCGAGTCAATCTCCTGACATGAACCCCATCGAACACCTTTGGGCCATACTCGACCGGCAAGTCAAGAAACAACCAAAAAAACAACTTCGAAGAGCAATCTACTCCAAGTTTTAAAGCAAGAGTGGGCGAAAATCCCACAATCTAAAATTGACGAAATGATTCTCACGATGCCCCAAAGGATCAACAAACTCCACGAAGCGAAAGGAAGATCTACTAGATATTAATTAAATTATAAATATATCAATTCATGTAAATATGACTGAAAAATTTCATTTTTTCTGAAAAGGTGGTGTCTATTTACTTGTGACCACGCTGTGTACAGTGCACTAACTATAAGACCAATCATGGTCTTCTATGGGGTTTTCTGTATTATTACACTAATTATAAAACCAATCATGGTCTTCTCTGAGGGTTTCTGTATTATTACACTAATTATAAAATCAATCATGATTTTCTCTGAGGGTTTCTGTATTATTACACTAACTATAAAATCAATCATGGTCTTCTTTTGGATTTTCTGTATTATTACACTAATTCTAAAATCAATCATGATCTTCTCTGAGGGTTTCTGTATTATTACACTAATTATAAAATCAATCATGGTCTTCTTTGGGATTTTCTGTATTTTTACACTAACTGTAAAATCAGTCATGATCTTCTCTAAGGTTTTCTGTATTATTATACAAATTATAAAATCAATCGTGGTCTTCTATGGGGTTTTTCTTCCACAGTGCACTAAGTATAAAGACCAAGCATGATCTTCTCAAGCCTGCTCAGTCAAAAAACAAAAAAGTCACTAATATTATTACTAGCCCTAATCTCGTGTTTGTTTCAAGACGAGTAAAAAAAGCGAAACAAAGTTAGTTTGGTTATAAATTAAACTTGTCAGTTTCTACACGTGTTATCGAAGTGCAACAGTTACTCCGCAGCATTGGAGCTTGGTTAAAACTAACGCAAACTGCTTCTCATGAAAGTTATGTCATTCCGTGAAAATAGTGTGACGCAACAACTTTCGAATTTCTCATACATCATACTTTCTTTGCTTAACTTAATTACTAATATTTACTTTTATAGTTCTTGATAATTTACTCTAATCTCTCTATTGTTCTGAAATGGTCACTTAATATTCCAATGTATTATCACAGAAACTGATGGCTGCCATTTTTTATTATCGAGATTACGCGGTGATCATGAAAATGACTTATTTTTCATATAATTTGTAAGTGGTAGCCATAGATACGGCAATCATGTAGAACGATTTATCATGTTTGTAAATTTATATGTACGTAGTTTTGTTCGACCAGCTTGCGGTTGATTATCTTCTACGAACAATTAGTTTTTAGTTGCGTTCAGTTGCTAAAAATCAAAACTTGTATGTATTGTCCGCACAAATATTTTAAAGCTGTTTAACACATATAATTAGCTTTAATGCCTTAGGTTACTGATACCTACATTTATCATTATTGTTTTGCGTTCTAGTTTTATTTGAGTGACATTAGACAGATCTGAGGACATCACTCTCGATTTTAATAAACCAGGGTGTATTTATCAATATAGGCGTTTTGTTATAGACAGGATAAACTGAATGAAAAAACATTACACGGCTTTGTTTGTGCTTTTGAGATACAATTTTTTCATGTTATTTGCACTTAAAAAAGCTTCATATTTGTGAAAGTTCTCTGTTTCATGCAAAAAATGATTTTATAACAATTTCGTAATCAAAGTCGATGGCCAACTGATATGCCCTCTAGTGGCACAGCGGTATGTCTGCGGACTTACAACGCTAGAAACCGGGTTTCGATACCCGTGATGACCAGAGTACAGATAGCCCATTATGTAGCTTTGTGCTTAACTTTAAACCAACAAACCAACTGATGTATTTAAAAGTCATATGTAACATTCAGTTGTGTGAGTTTAAACACAAGTACAAGAAAGCGGAACCAAGGAATAAAAGCAAGGAAATGAACTATAAAAACTCATGCTGAGATATTTTGTAAAAAATGGGGATAACCTGTTAATTGCAAATCGCTGACGATTTCTTGAACTTTTTCATAACTGTTGTCATATATATATGTATATATATATGCGGGGGTAGGTGCTTAACATAAGGTTTAAACACCAACATTTAACACTTCAGTTTATTCACACACATGAGTGAAAACTCTGATCGTAAATAGAACTAATGGAGTAGAACCAAAGATATTCCAGGAATCTCGTCCTTTTTTGTAATCTTTTCCATGTCAAGATTACTAAGTTTCAGTAGTTTTCAACATATAACTTGTTTACCATGTAGCCTCGTAATATTCCTTCAACATGCTCCATTGCATAAATGATTACATCGTAAACTTGCTGAGGAGATGGTGTGTTATCAGTAGACTCAAATTGGCCAAGTCTGTGACTGGTAGTTTGAGAGTAACGTAAAGTCTTAAACAGTTGTCGAAAGGCTTCAGGGAATATAAGGACTTTGAATTTATGTTCTACTGGTAACGAAACCAAAGCTTGTTTGTGACATAAACTTATGATTTAAAACCGCTTTTAAAACCTGGTATTTAAGTTCAACTTCAATAAGAATGAAATCAGAGTAGCACACCTTCACCCTTCAAACAAGTGATTTCCACTAATGTATTATATTCCATTCTGTGTATTTTAGAGCCTTTAAAAGCTTTTCTATCTTTTATTCAAAATTTCTCACTGAACACAAATGAAATTGTTATAGTCACTCCTTAAAATTAGATTTGTTTTCTGACTTGTTATCTTCTGCCTTCTGTTCTTAAACATTAAATAAAAGAACGAAAGAAAAAGAGATAAAAATTACTATATTTACAGCCATGCAAGTAAACCCAAATTGTGACTTACCGTCGCATTTATCAAAACTGCACATACTTTTTGGGCTGTACGAATCGGGTTAGGATTCGTGGGTACAGTTGTGGCATTCAAAGTATATCCTTTTGGCAAAATACGTTCGTGTGAAATATTTTCGACCACTTGATTAAAGTAAGTAGTATTATCACCGATACTGAGTACTGCACCAATTTTGAAAATCTCAGATTTTTTTAAGTCAAGGCCACTTGCGGAACCATCATGTTGTTGGGCAGAAACAAAAGAACAAAACAGAAGAGTTTGTAGGATTTTCTGAAGGACATGTTGAAGAGGCGGTGTCCTTTTCTGATCAACACAACTCAACATTCTTAGGTTGGCCACTAATATACAGTTGTAAAAGTTTTCCAGGTCACAATCTTCTGAACAGCAAGTTGATCATCATGAACTGAAAAAATAAAATATACCGGAAGGAGTAATTTGATTTTCGAATAAACTCACATAGGTTATCAAATTGACTAATATCATCAAACTTATTAATGTTTTACGATTTATATTTTTTTTAAAACTTTGTAAGAAAGAACTATAAGTAAACATGTAGATGTCAAATAAATATTTAGATAGTAAAGAAAATACTTTTCAGTTGATTAAAATATTTATAACAACCAACTTAGGCGTTCTAGAGCATTTCAAATGATAGTTGATTCAATTTGATCTATGTTTAAGCTGGAAGATAGAAAATTTATTAACGAGAGGAATAGCAGCACAAGGATAAAATATGTTCATAGTCCATCTATCTTTCAATGAAGGAATGAAAGCACAGAAGGAGAAATGTGGGCTGATTACCCTGTTAAATTCTAAGGTAATGATACAAAGATGAATCTCTAGGCCTTACAGCCTGTTATTCCATCAGTGATGGAGCTGTTTATAAACTAGGACTCTGCAACACACTTTCCACTGAAGGATGGTTTTGCTCAACAAATTGAATTCATTGTTATGCCACGCCTCTTTACATGCTTTCCAAATTCCGTTAACCCTGTACAGACAATGACTTCTGAGGTTCAAGCAAACCAAAGGCACAGATGCCCAAAGAAGATACAGCTTATGAATGTATATAGTAAATTTGCACTTGTATCGTGCAGAGAAACTGTAATGTTGAATTAGATACGTGGATGGGTACTTTGTCTTGATGAGGTCATATCTTTTTGGCATCAAGTCCGTACAAAAATGGCATATTATTGTGAGATACTTATGTCAGCGCATTAGCCTTACAGTAAGCAGAGATAAAGTTAGCATGTTCTTTTAGAAGCAAGATGTTTAATTTGTCATTACGGCTGTATCCTGCAACCACAATAATTCCCGTGAAAATCCTTCACAACGTGCTCTGTGCCATTTTTGAAATGTTTTGTCACCACGAGGATAATAATAAATCCGTTGGTCTTTGTTAGATATGACGATATATTTATATTTGTCAAATACATGTATACTGCTTATATAGCTTGTGAATATTGCTCTGATACCACTAATACCGAGTGAGATTTCCATTGTAGCCACAGTGGATTCTAATGCTCTTGGATTACTTCTAGAAGCAAGCAGTTTAATTCATTTTCACTACTTAGAAGAAATGTGTATCAGAAAGTCTTGTGATATAGCCGTTTGAGAAGGGATCGTCCAATGATTGGCACAATTTACACTTAAAAATTACCTCATTTTTAAGTCAATTGCAACACAAGGTCAGACTTTTAGTTTGTGGAGCCACAAACCATAAGGATGAATGGAGCAGGATGAGTGGGTATGCAAATTTTTATCATAGATAACGAATAACCCTCCATGCTTTTTCTATAGTGATATCAAATACTGATTGATCTAAATTTTATTAGTTGAGCAGAAGCTCACTTTTATATATTGGTTGAAGCACAGAAAAGATAAAACTGAAATCTTATCCTTTAGCAAGCAATAACCATTCTAGTGTAATCACCCTGTTCAAAGGAAAGTTTCAAGTTAAACAACAATATATATCAAATAAATTTGGGATAGACTTTGATTCATCAAGAACTCCATTCAGCTGTTTACCAGAAGCTCTGGCGTTATTCAGTTTAAGACATAAGGTTTTGCGGCCTAGAAAACTAATTAATCAATACAAAATCTGCCCTTGGTTATCCATAGAACGCAGTATTTAATATAAACCCTCAATAAACAGAGTTTCAAAGCAGTTTTAAGATCTCATAAAATAGCTACAGCAAACACTCTATTATTCAGAGCAGCATAGATACAGTCTTGGCCAAAATGTTTGCATATTTTATAACAAGTAAGGTCATTATTATTAAGATGGAATACAAATACACTTAGCACTGTCAAACTGAGAATTGCACGTTATACATATTGAACATCTACATATAAATGAATAAAAACCCTATAACCCGGGCGCTTTCGAAAGGTGGACCTTTCTTCTTCAGTTTGCCCCTGATAAAGAAAGGTCCACCTTTCGAAAGCGCTCGGGTTATAGAATTTTTATTCATTTCTATCAAAACTTCTTGAACCTACGTATTTTTCTAACATCATAAAGATCTACATATGTAATTTATATAATAAGACAGGTTCTATGGACATCATGAACGATTTACCAGAACAGCAAACAATTTTATCAAACACGTGTAGAAAGATGTGTAATTCAGCATTTCACCTATCACAACAAAACCTAAGGAAACATACATAAAATGACACAATATTTCATCAAATTACTATACATAGTGTCTGTTACATTATATCAGTTCATATTAATCATTCAGTACTTGTTTGGTCCTTCTCGTGCTCCAATATCCCCTGCAAAGCAAATTGTCATGCTGTCGATGATTTCATCCCAACTTGTCACTAGAAGGCGCTGCAACTCAGCTACAGTAGCTAGTTTAGGATCGTGGCTAGCAATTTGCCGGCTCAGCCCAGCAGTTCTCAATGGGATTACAGTCTGGAACTTTGCTGACCATGACAATCTTGTAACGTCCTCTTGGTCGAGATAATCTTGTACACTACGTACACTGTGGGCAGTGCCATTGTCATCCTGAAATACAAAGTTATTGCCAAACGTTGCTCTAGCATATGGGAGAAATATCCTCACCATGTAATGTCTGTAGGAGGCTCCCGGGTCACATCGGGAACAAAACTTCTAACTCTACGTGGAAGTATTAGAACCACTGATGTTTTTGTACTTTGCTCTGGACCACTACAGCTGTGACTGTTTGCTCTCACTCTGATCGGAGATTCTAAATTACGGGTGGCTGTACCAGAATCTTAAAGTCCGTTAAACCCGTGTATTACATAAAGTGCTGTTTAGGTTGAAAACATAAAATACTATTAGTTTATCACATCAGAGGTGTGTAAACCAACATTTTGTATAGACTATGCGTACACAGAAAACTCGTTTTAAATTGAAAGTGCTACTCTATAATGGATCTGTACATATCGCTGCTGTCTGTTTTCAATGTCTCTGTGTACTCTCCGAGACAAGGTATTGCAACTATTTACGTGATAAAGCTCCAAACAGCAAGAATGTGCAAGTTCAGAATAAAACAAAAATTTAAATTCTTACAAAGACGAGATACAACAAATCTTCAGTGGTACACGCACCTCCGCAGCACGACAAAACTTACAAGCTTTCTATTATAGGTATACGATGTATAATGTCTCCTTCGAGACGACGCATGAAGACAATATCACATACAGGGTTTTTACGAGTTTGTGTGTGTATATATATCTACAGACATTGCAACGTCATGCCTATAACTAATGTTGAGTTCTGTACCTCGAAGGCTAGCAAAGTACATGACATTGTTCTTTAGGTTAGACTGTTTAATATTCAAAATACTGATAAAAGCATGACCGATAGACTCCCCTGAAACTTCAGACCTGTACTGAAACGTTCGATCGTTTTCGCTAAGATGATAATTTTTATCTGTTGTTTTACGGATCTCCATGGAAGCAAACTCTTGTTTTACGGATTTCCCTGGAAGGAAGCTGTTGTTTTACGCATCTCCAGGGAAAGAAGCTGGTGATTTTAATCATTCCTATCTCCACACACAGTTGGAGCGAAGCCATTTAAGTGACGAGAGAGATGCATTATAAGCTTAAAGTCCATCTGTAAACAAATAACCAACAATGCAATGGAACTATTAAAACTTTGAATGTCACATGAACGGGTCTCTATGTCGCATCCAGACAGAATATCGAGTAATAACAAAATTCTGACTCCTCTATCGTATTACTATGCACAATAAGATTTACACAAGCAAGAAAAACTAGTACTTTTGACATGTCTACATTGGCTCAGCGGTAAGTCTGAAGGCTTATAACGCTAAAACCAAGATTTCGATACCTTTGGTCGGCACAGCACAGATAGTCCATTATGTAGCTTTGCGCAAAGCATTTGATTATTAGACTCTTAGGCGGTCTGTAATGTTTCGAGCGGATATGAATTCAATACGCAAATTGCAGCTGATTCTATGACCATATCGGAGTGATTATTTTTTGTGTGTGTTTGTTCAAAATGAAAACCAGTGTTAAGACTAATAATTTTTGTGACAAGTAATTATTAGTTGTAGTTTGTTCTTTACTCATAATTTTCAGTAAAATTTAAACACAAATGAAAATTTAATAACAGGAGGCTCTATTGTATGTGCCATATATATATATTCATGTAATTTTTAATACGTAAACAAGCATTGAAGTTCGAATTTTATCTGCTGGAACATTATTTAAAATAGCATGATTTGTTGGTTAACGTAACTTAATATTGATACATTACACGGTGTTTTTTTTCTCTGCGTCCGATTTTTATATGGCGCGATTCTTTACAGTAGGTATCTGTGACTTGTTGGCGATAAATTTCAACAATAAACAAACGGCACACAGCTCACTTGTTTTAAAATAATATATTAAAGCAAGTCAAATGTATATATAAGTGTTGGTTAGACAGTTAATTACCACAGTTGAATCCATAGCTTTAAATAATTCTCTTTTTCGTCAAAAGTCCACACAGGTTGCTTCAGTTACTTTAGAACCCAATTGACAAAACAACTTATTCTTCTCTACTCTGTTATCACAATACAATCAGTAATAAATTCACATGGGTTACTTCCTGGATTACTCCATTTGTATCTAGAGCTTTAAATAATTCTCTTTTTCGACAAAAGTTCACACAGACTGGTTCCATTACTTTAGAATACAATTGACAAGACGAATTATTCTTTTCTACTCTGTTACTACAATACAATCTGCGATTATTATATTACACTTTAAAAGTCGCCACTATACACTCTTTACGGTTAAACTCATGATAAACCAGTCTATATCTATTTCTATCTCTTTTATTTTTTACTAATTTTTCGGCATGTAGATATATATATATTCTCGACAGCAATCTGGAACTTTCTACACACTGCTACATATTATATG